GGGAGCCCGCGCTCGAGTCCACAGGCTGGGTCCCGGGTTTGAGAGACTGGGAGACTGCGAGGAACATGTTCCCTGTCTGTCCCGCACGGGCCCAGGCCTGCACAGATGGGGGGCGCTGGTCTGCCAGAGGAGCCCCCAACACCAGGGAGGGGCTTCTTGGACCTGAGACCCCAGATTTGAGGCCCTCATCCCACCTGCTGTTTCTGTCCTTTGGACCTGCTCCTCTCTTGTCCTCCTGCTTTGGGTTCTGGGTCTGCTCCATCTCTGTCCCCATATGCCATTTCCCTGCAGTTCCTGGCTCAGCACACACCCCTTCCCATTCTCTGCAATCCTTAGGGGAGCCAGACAGACCTCCAGGCCAGGAGTGTGTAGAGATGACAGTTGGAGGCTCCGAGTGGCCCCTCGTGCCCTGGGGCTCTTCAGCTCCTCTGCTCAGACCTAGCTTCTTAGCTGAAGTCCTGGGAGGTGCGGGGGCTCTGGCTACTCACTTCAGCACGGCCCTGGAGCCTCCCTGGCCAGGAGATGGAGGTACCCGCCTCCTCACTCTCCTATCCCAGGCCCGCCATCTTGAGACCTGTGGCACCCTGTGCCCTGCCCGGCTCCAGCACCCTGGGGAGTGGTCTTCAAGGGGATGCACCCAGGGCCAGGTGCATTCCCTTCTCCCAGAATGTGGGCTCTTGGCCCTCTCAAGCCCAGGATGATCACCTTCTTGCTGGACCAACAGAACTTGTGTCCCGGGGGCCCTTCTTCCCCTACAAAGAGCATTTAGACCCCAGGGACTCCCCAGGACCTTAAATCTTGGCTCCCACCTTCACTTTTTACTGAGGTTATCCTCATTGCTTCAGAGCCAGCAACTGAGACCCTATCTTTACCATCTGAAGATCCCCCAGCCCCTCCAGGCCCTAGGAGCCCCTTCAACTTACAAGGCACCCCCATCCCAGCCCCCACCCCCCAGTCTTCATCAGCATGCAGGCTCAGGCTGCCCAAACACAAGGGGATTGTTCTTCTTGCATGCTCAGGGTGGGGGGCTGGGAGCAGGCGGCCCACACACCCTGGCAGGCCCAGGCCACAGGGAGGCTGGTTTTGCCCCACCCTGTGTCCCAGACAGGCTCTGTCCACCCTCCCTACTCCCATCACTGCTCCCCTCCAGCCTCCATCACCATTGCTTAGTGGCACTGATCTCTTGAGGGAAGAGCTCTGAGCTGCACAGGTGGACCCCTGGGTTCTCCCAGCTCAGCCAGTTGCCTCTCATGTAGCCTTACAAACAAGCCCCTTCCTCTCTGGACCTCAGGTTCCTCTCTGGTGGGGCCCTTACAGCTGTGACAGGCCGAGCCTGACTTTGTGAAACCCACACCACTCCACAGCTCTTCTTCCAGCTCCCCTTCCCCATGGGGAAACCCACTCTGGGCCCCCAGAAGTCTCAAAGCACAGCACAAATCCCCCACTCCAGTAATATGTACAGGGAGCCCCTAAACCCAGAGAAACAGCAGGAGCAGGGGCTGGAGGTGCTGAGGAATGGGAACTGGGAATACTGTCCAGGCAGATCCTCACTCTCCCATGTGACTGGTCCTCTGTGCCCTGGGTCTTCTCACTCTACCCTCACTGCTCCTCTGGGACCCTTAGCCCCATCTCTCATCCCTAATTCCTCTGGGCCCTGCAAGCCCTTTCTTCTTCCTGCACACTAAACCTGGTCCTGGCTTCTACCCTCCTGAAGGACCTCCTGCCCTCCTGGAACTCTCTGTGTAGAGGAAAGATAGGCTTGGAAATGCTCAGTTGAGGCTCCTTTGAGTTGCAGGCATCTTTGGGGGAGCAGATAGGCCTGAGTGATTACATCTGACTTGGAAAGTTGGGGAGGGCTTCACAGAGGAGGTGGCATTTCAGAAGGATTTGGACAGACAGTGGGGAGGATGGGCATTTCAAGCTAGGATCAGCCTGGGCAGAGGCCCAGAGGCCTGGAGGTGCTAGGCATGTTTTGCAGTCTGTTGTGTGTGGGGGATGGGGTGGAAATGAGACAAGAGAAGTTGGCAGGGGTCAAATCATGAAGGGCCTTGAGTGCCTGTCATTGGAGGCACTGGGGAGCAAAGGATGAGCAGCAGAGTGGCCCAGTCTCCACCCTGCAGAATGGAAGCTAGAGACATTTCTCAATTTGGGTGAGACAGTGAGGGGATGGGTACCAGTGGGTGGGGCTGTACTATGAAGTTGAGCCCTTTCTCCTGGAATCCAGTCTGGGCCTGAGCCTGCCTTAGTTTCCCTTGGCTGTGAGGACTCTTGGGGGATTGTCTAATGATGCTCAAAGGAGGCTGTAGCCCTTCTGGCACCAGCCAGCCTGTCAGAGTGTCCCTTCTCTGCCTCGCATTGAGTCTACAGGACAGTTCTAGGTCAAGAAAACAGGCTGGAGCTCATGGATCTCAGGCTGCCCCCCTTCAGGGCCCTCCTCCCCTCACTCTCCTAAGAAATGGTTATGAATGGCTATCCTGGTAGGTTGTAAGGCTTAGAGCCTGGGTGCATGGGTCTGAGGATGCTGGGGCAGTCCTTATGGAGGCCTGGCTAATCAGGAAGGGTGAGCATGCCCAGAGAAGGAGATGGGCAGGGGAGTCAGGATCCCTCAGTGCCCATCCCCTCCAGGCCTAGAGTCCACCCTGCCTGACCCACCACCACGCCCTGCTTTGCCTGATGCCCCGAGCCATTCCCCAGCATCACTGGGTGTGGCCAGCATGGCTGCTTTTGGAGTAGGAGTAGAAGGAAGCTGTTAGGTTGGAGGCTGGAGGTGCTGAGGGGGGTGTTGGGGGATGTGAGGTGGGGGATGAACTTGGAGACTGGACTTTCCTCTCTTCCCAGCCCAGGTGGGTCTCTAATCCCTAGCTGGTCCAGACAAGCTGGCTAGCAGAGCCGAGGGAATCCCCCAAGGGGCGGGCCGGTCCACTTGAGTCGCCTGGCCCCAGGAGCCCTCCCCTCCCCCGGATTGTTCTTGCTCCAGAACAAAGCCAGGGTGGACACTTGATCCCTGCATGCGGGGGGGAGCTGGCTAAGCCCCCGGCCCTTTGATTGGGCAGCTGTCATGAGAGAGAGACAGCTGGGGGGGAGGGCAGGAAGAGGCAGCCGCCATCGCTTACACAGCTGTCACCCCCCCCCCCGCCCCCTCCAGCTTGAGTGGCAGGAAGCCAGGGACAGAAGGAGTGGGCACTGCATCTGGGGAGGGGGTCTGGGGAGCAGGAGGGAAAGCCTGAGGTCAGAGGCCTGCTCTGAGCTTAGTATGTTCTGCCAGGAAGCCCTGCTGAGCAGAGGGGGCTGGGCACCCCCAAAGGTGAGCTGGAGGTCAGTATGGCTTGACGCGTGGCTGCCATGTGGGTGACCCAGCAGGGACCCAAGGCCCACTAGGCTGGAGCAGCAAATAACTCCTTAGAGACCCAGTGAGGGTGGAAGAGGCGCCAGTATGCCTAGTAGTGCTGCTTGTTCTTAGGGCTCTTAGGGAAATAGTTAGGGAAACCTGTGTCACAACCCCTTGTTCTCCCCTAAAGACAGGAAGAACCTTGAAAGTCCCTCAGAACAGAAATGACACAGAGAGACCAGCCACTGCCCCCTGCCCCCAGCCCATGTACATATATAGCACAGGTTGGTAAACTGAGGTCCAGGTCTGGTACAGGCTTAACCAAGGCCACCCTCTGAATTTGGGGAAATGGGGCTCTGCCAGGTACCTTTTTTAGGGCAGGAGGCCTAGTTCTGGCCATGTCACGGCCCTTCTGCCCTATTTTCCCAGGAACCTTTGCCCACAGAGGTGACGTAGAAATGGTACGGGGTCAGTGTCAGGTCTCCCACAGGAGACTGCCCCAAAGGGGTCCCTAAGCCCCAGAAAATTCTGGAGCTTAAGACTGTGGCTCTGGATGAGCTGTCAGTCCTTTCCAAACACAGCCCACATCTACTAGCCAGGCAGAGGTCTCAGGGATTACTGATGCCTGCTCCCACCTTTGAAGAGCACCCCCACACCTAGGAAGAGGACTGACAGACCCAGATGGGACAGCCAGAAAGGAGAGGCAGACAGGGCCTGCGACAGAGCCTTGCACTAGCAGGAAGGACCCTGCTAGTCCCACCACGCCCCACCTCTCTGTGACCTTGGGGAGGTTACAGACCCTCTCCAGGCATCAGGCTCAATTTCCCTTTGGAGAATTGGTCTGTTCAGATAACCAGTGTGTTCTGAGCACCTTCTCAAGCCTGGCTCTGGCCTGATCTCTGGGAACACAAGGAGAAGGCGGCAGGCAGCCTTCACTCCTGCTCTAAGGGGCTCCCGGGCTGGTTAGGACGACAGAAACCGAACGCGTCATCATGAGTGTTTCTCTGGGAGAAGTGCAGGCAGCGGGGGGATTGTTACAAGGGCAGCTAGCATGAGGTTGGCCAGGATGCTCACAGAGCACCATCCCTGCATCCAGTGTTGACCTCTGACCTCTGGAGAGCCTATGGGCAGAACTTGAGGAGACAGAGGAGCAAGTGCTGGGGAGGCGACAGTTACTGTGTGCCTGGGGAGACAGGATTGTCACTCCCATGGTACAGGTGAAGAAACAGGCCTCAGGCCATACAGTGGCTTGCTCAGACTTCCTGAGAAAGCCAGGCTGGGAGCCCCAGCCCTACTCCTCCACACGCAAGCTCTGGCTAGCAAGGGAGGTTCTGAAGAGGGCATTGGACAGAGCTCCATACCGTTGACTATCATGTCAGGATAGGGCAGGGAGGTGCCCAGAGGACTCCGGAGTGCTCGAGCCCAGTACACTCATCACGGCTGATGCCCTCCCGGATGGTAGGAATTTGCAGGGTCGGGGCTTGGTCTTGGCTCAGACTTGGTCCCAGTTGGTTCCCTCCCTGTTTTCCTACTCGGGGTCTGGTCCTCCAGTGAGCTCCCCATTAAGGCTGAGCCTTGGCGGGAGACAGCCACTGGAGGAGAGGGATTTCCAAGCAGGATTAAGGTTCAGGATTAAGTTGGGGCATGAAAAGGGGTCGGAGGGGGAGGGCTGGCGGCTGGGCTAATCCCAGCAGCTAATCTCCAGCTCCTTCCTCCATCAGTTAACGGCCTTGACATTACCCAGCCCCGCAGTCCCTTTCTTACCCATTACCCAGTCCCGGGGGAAGTAGTCCCTCCATTTTACAGACGAGGACACTGGGACTCAGAGCCCAAGTGACTTGTTTCTTGTACAGTAGGAAGTGCTCCAGGCTGAGAATGTGGCCAGCCTGAACACTTCTTACCTCCTCAGCACATAGGAGGTGTGCTTGGAAAGCCACTGTACAGACTGCTGGTCCTCTGACACCCAACCCCCATCCCCTAGTCCTGAATGAACCTTGCTCACAGCTGATTTGCAGGAGCCTCTGCTTTAGTGACCTCTAGTGGGCAGACCTCTAGTGGGACCTCCTGGAGCCTCACCACCTTCACTTCCACCCTCCTTTCAAGACCCTCATGGCTCCCATGGCTGCTCCAGCTTCCTCTCCAGCTGCTCCTCATGCTCTAGCCAGTGGGGCTCTGGCCCCTAGACACAAGTGCCTCTTGTTTGAAGTAACCGTTCAACCTTAACCCAACCTTCAAGGCCCCATCCACAGGGGTCCCCTCTTCCAGGAGGTCAGGGAGGAGGCACCTCTTCTCTGGACTCTCATAGGCCTCCTAGTTAATTCTTTCTTCTCATGTACAAAGGGAAGGGAAGGGTACTCATGGAGACTGGGTGCCTGCCACGTGTGCTTATCTCATGTTAATTCCCCTAACACTGCGGGTAGGGCTGGGTATCCCCTTCTTACACATGGGGCAGCTGAGGCTGGCCAGGTTGACACAGCTAGTGAGTTGCACATAGCACGCAGGTCAATGTGACATTGAAACTTGGGGCCCACACTGTCTCCCTGCTCTGGGAGTTTGGCTAGCCTGGCTCTGGGATCCCCAGGTAAGGGCAGGGGACCCGAAAGAGAGCTGAGCTTCTCTCTAATCCCTCTTCCGCCACCCCTGCAGAGCCGGCCAGGCCACAGCGTGGACATACTCCCAGGCCACCTCGGCCCCAGCCCCGCCTGACAGGATGAGCAGCTCAGATGCGGGGCTGGAGGAGGAGCCAGAGCTCAGCATCACCCTCACGCTGCGGATGCTGATGCACGGGAAGGTGAGGGGGTTGGTTCTCAATGGCTCAGGAGGAGGTAGAGGGCAAGGCCAGGCCAGCTGGGAGAGAGTTTGATCTTGGGTGTCCAGTATTTTGCAGAGCCCCTGCCCCAAGGTGGGGAAAGGGCAGGGCCTGGGGCATTAGTACCTGCTGACTCCACTCTTGTCTTGTTTGCAGGAGGTGGGCAGCATAATCGGGAAGGTAGGTGCCCGGTTCTGTTCTGTGTGTCCCCTTCAACCAGAGGCCTCAGTCCACGAAAGGAGGCAATGACCAGTCAGCCTAAGAGCCATTCTCTGTTTTGTCTCCTGCAGAAAGGAGAGACTGTAAAGCGAATCCGGGAACAGGTGAGGATGGAGTTTGGGAGAGGAGCCCAGGGCACCTGGTTTGGAGGGGAGGGGAAATCCCTGCTCCACCTTGTCCCTGAACCCACCATCTGGGATGACCAGTGAGTGCCCCTAGAAGGTGGCCGTTTCCAGCCTGGGGCCTGCTGAGTAGAGGGGCAGGCAGGTTCCTGCCCGGGAAACAGAGAAGGAGCCGCACTGCCCGGCAGTTGTCCTGTATCCGCAGAGCAGCGCCCGGATCACCATCTCTGAAGGCTCTTGTCCCGAGCGCATCACCACCATCACCGGGTCTACAGCAGCCGTGTTCCATGCAGTCTCCATGATCGCTTTCAAGCTGGATGAGGTCTGGGGCTTGCTAGGGTGGGAGGCCAAGGGTGATTCCTGGGGAGAAACAGGATTCCGATGCCACAGGATGGCTACAGGTGGGAGGGAAGGCCAAGCCCAGGGCAGGCTTCTCTCGGAGTGGGATGGGGGAGGGCTTTGCTCCTTCATCCCGCAGCAGGAAGGTGTCCCGGGGGTGGAGAAGCAGCAGGGGTGTGCACAGCCAACCCACAGTCTTCCTGCCCAGGACCTCTGTGCTGCTCCTGCAAATGGGGGGAATGTCTCCAGGCCTCCAGTGACCCTACGCCTGGTCATCCCCGCAAGCCAGTGTGGCTCGCTTATTGGGAAGGCCGGCACTAAGATCAAGGAGATCCGAGAGGTAAGGGGAAGGGGATACCAGCCTCAGGTCTTACCCTTCTGTTTCGAGGGGCACCTGGGCTTATGGCTTCCTGTCCCCTGGGGAACTCCAAGCCTGGGCACTCTACTCTGGGTTATGGGAGTAGCCAGAGGTGGCCCTGTTCTCTTCTTGCAGACTACAGGTGCCCAGGTGCAGGTGGCAGGTGACCTGCTCCCCAACTCCACTGAGCGTGCTGTCACCGTGTCCGGGGTGCCTGATGCCATCATCCTGTGTGTGCGCCAGATCTGTGCTGTTATCCTGGAGGTGCTGCCCTGGGGCAGGGAGAGAGGGCAGGGGGTGGGCCCTGAGCCTGCCTTGTCAGGCCCCTAAATCCTCTGCATGTGACCCCAGGTAGAGGGCAGGGCGGGGCTGCAGGGATGGATTAGGAGCTCCAGGATGTTGGGATACATTTACCTGGGGGCTATGGGGAGGGCCTTGGGGAGGTCAGGGATTCCTGACAGGATCCTGATAGAGCCTCCCCATTTGTGCCTTCCAGTCCCCACCCAAAGGAGCCACTATCCCATATCATCCAAGCCTCTCCTTAGGTACTGTCCTTCTCTCCACCAACCAGGTGAGGGGGACAGCAGGAGGGGTGGGACATGTTACTGGAGCAGGGGGAGTAGGTGGAAGAAAGAATTGGGGGTCCAGGGAGAGGTGGGGAGGAGTGACCCTGGCCAAATTGCCCTGACCTGTCACATTAACCACTTTTACCCACTTTGTGTCCACAGGGCTTCTCCGTCCAGGGTCAGTATGGGGCTGTAACCCCAGCTGAGGTGAGTGACTACAGCCCAGGCACCCCTTCCTGTACCAAGCCTCCTCTGACTCCTGACCCCTCTTCTCGGCACAGGTCACCAAGCTCCAGCAGCTCTCAGGCCACGCAGTCCCCTTTGCCTCACCCAGCATGGTGCCAGGTGAGCAGCCCCTGCAGAAGAAGGCAGGGGTAGATCCCAAGGGGCCGGGCAGCGCCCCCTGGAAAGAACATGGGGAGGCAGGAAAGGCCTGGAATCACACCCAATCCCTCTCTCCCTCTAGCAGGACTGGATCCTGGCACCCAGACCAGCTCACAGGAGTTCTTGGTTCCCAATGACGTGAGCAGGGGATGAGGTGGTTTGAGGGCGGGTAGGGAGGCCCAGGGGCCTGGGCCTTACCGAGGGTTGACTTCTGCACACCCTCCCCCAGCTGATTGGCTGCGTGATTGGGCGCCAGGGCAGCAAGATCAGTGAGATCCGGCAGATGTCAGGGGCACATATCAAGATCGGGAACCAAGCAGAGGGCGCTGGTGAGCGGCATGTGACCATCACTGGTTCCCCAGTCTCCATCGCCCTGGCCCAGTACCTCATCACTGCCTGGTGAGTGTGGGGTAGGGGATTACAGGTTGTGGGGCTTAGGTGCCTGAGAAAGGCTGAGGTCGGGTGGGGAGAGCTGACCTCCCTTCTTCGGGGGCCTGTCCCCTGCCTCCCCTAATTCTGTCCCACTCAGTCCATGTTGCCCCATCTGTCCCTCATGTCCTCTTTCCCCATCCCTGACACTTCTCCCTGGGTCTTTGGCCTCCCCATTTCTCCCCTCACCCCATATGTGTTTGTCCCTTCTTCCTATCCCTACTCTTCCAGCCTTTCCCATCTTCTCCCCAAAGACATCCACCCTATGTCATTGTTCTCAATTCCTCTCTATTTTTCATCTAATCTCACCCCTTATATTTGCCCTCACTGCCCCCTTTCTCACCCACCCCTCCACCTTCCCCTTCATCTCCTCCCTCTATCCCTCTTTCCAGTCTAGAAACGGCCAAGTCTACCTCTGGGGGGACACCTGGCTCGGCCCCCACAGATCTGCCTGCCCCCTTCTCGCCACCCCTGACGGCCCTGCCCACAGCTCCCCCAGGCCTGCTGGGCACGCCCTATGCCATCTCCCTCTCCAACTTCATCGGCCTCAAGCCTGTACCCTTCCTGGCTCTACCACCTGCCTCCCCAGGGCCGCCGCCGGGCTTGGCGGCCTACACTGCCAAGATGGCAGCGGCCAATGGGAGCAAGAAAGCCGAGCGGCAGAAATTCTCCCCCTACTGAGGCCAGCTGAGGCACAGGCGCGGGGGCAGGCTGGACCGCCGGCAGGGGGCTGCCTCCTCACCTTACCTGCCCAAGGAGACTCCAGTCCCAGGGTCCCAAACGCCGCTAATGCCCAGACGCATGGATGCACTCCCTGTCCTGCCCCGGTCTGTGGGTGTTCCTGCTCTCAAAGTGGGAACAGTTTCCAGCCCAGGGTTCTGGGAGCTGCGGCAGCCCCAGTGTAGGGGGCTCCATGTCCTCTAGCTCTGTGCTTGGATGCAGGGAGCATCCTTAGTGCCCCCAGTTTGGGGGGTCACTCATGCACTCCCCATCCCTTAGGGTCTTCCTGCCTACTGCCCCCACTGTGGGGATCAGGGAGGAGACCTGAGGGGTGGCTGGGGGCCATGCTTCTCTCCCCACCTCCCTGCAGATTCCTGCTGCTTCCACTGATACCCTTTTGACTGGAATGGACTGACTGGGCTTGGCAGAGGGCAACCCAAAAAGGGGGCACTGCCGGGCAGCTGGGGGAGTGGCATGGGGGCAGGAGCCGAGTTCTCAGCAGCAGACACTCTGTACAGTTTTTTCAATCCCTGTTTTTGAATAAATATTCTCAGAGACCAGGAAGCTGTGAAACACTGTGGGTGTTGGCAAAACCTCCAGAAAAAGGGTGTGGCCAAGGGAGGCCCCAGAGGATCCCCACCTGTGACTCCAACAGCCGCAGTTGGGCTTCAGCCCCTTCCACATGTCAGTTCTAGAGCTTCAGGGCTCCTTGGGGGTCATGTTGTCCAGCCTCCTGCCGCTGGCACCAAGTAGATCCGGTTGTTTTCCGAGCATTTTAGAAGCTGATGGAGGAGCTCCGGTAGTTTTGTCCAGTCTCTCCTGGGTGCAAATGTCAGGAGGGTGGGGGTTCTTTCTGGGTGTCTCCCAGCTGGTTCCTCTTGCTGTGGCTGTAACCCAGACCCTGTTCTGCTTGGCCCATCCCTTTGGCTGTGAGCCCTTAGGGCCCTCTTCACTGTGATCCTGCCCACCTCTGCTTCTTCCTTGGCCCGGGGACCATCCATGAGTGTCCAAATCACCCAAGCTGGAGGAGCCCTTAGAGATGGTCCAAGATACAGATGGGAAAACAGACCTAGGGAAGGGTAAGTCTGTGCTCAAGGTCATGAAGAGATGGGTACAGAACCCAGGATTCCGAGTTCCTAGAAGCCTCTGGGCCTTACTAGGCTGCAGGCCTCCTTTCTCCCATTCCAGAGCCAGAAGTCCAGGCAGGGCATTTGCCACACGCTGTGCAAGAGGCTGGATGGGCCCCTTCTGATACCACCCTGCTTTCTCCGGTCCCTGCTCAGCTTAACAGATAGATCTCTCAGGTGGCCTCTGGCATGCTCAGGCTCTCTCCTCCTGCCAAAACCTGGGTTT